AGAAAGTCTCATTTTAATCTCCTTTTTTTGTACACTTAATTTTAAACACTGAATTTTTTTAGCACCAAATTTTAAACACTGACATTTCTTACACATTGAATTCCTTACACTGAATTAATATCTGGTAAAAAATTTGCCTGCAAAAAATTCAGCTGCAAAAAAATCTGCTGCAAAAAAATTTTCCTGCAAAAAATTCAGCTGCAAAAAGTTTAGCTGCCAAAAGTTCACCTGCAAATGTGTTGACCTTTTGGTGAACTCAAGCCAAAGCAATCGACATTCGAAGCAGTCGACCAGCTTCTAGCCAATGAAATTAGCTCATTTGCAGCCCACGGCAAACTTGTTTTTCTGACCAAATGAGCTAATTTCATTGGCTAGAAGCTGCTTGAATGTTTTGAGTGTACGTGGATTGCTTTGGCATGAGTTTACCAAAAGGTCAAGACATTTGCAGTCGAATTATTTGCATCTGAATTTTTGCAGCTTAATTTTTTGCAGCTTAATTTTTTGCAGCTTAATTTTTTGAAGCTCAAATTTCACCAGATAAAAATTCAGTTTAAGGAATTCAATGTGTAAAAAATTCAGTGTTTAAAATTCGGTGTACAAAAAAAGGCAGATTTCAATTAAACTGTTTTACTTCCATAAAATTTTGACTGGACCAATATTGCTCCAATTGGACCAATAAACATTTTTGAATCTGTTATCCTCCAATCTGAGTCTGAGTGAATTTTAGCCATGACCTTTATGTTTTTAGCTGGCAGCAGTTCGACCCCATATGTTCTCCTGCTGCTGTAGCCCATATGCTTTAACGTAGTGCATTCATAGGTGCATTCCTGCATTCCTTGGTTGTAATTATTATATAGCAAAACTGCTGTTGCCTTTCCATCCATCTCCAAATTAATCTCCCCTCATCAACGGTGTATTTTTTGCTGCTCATATGGATATTTTCATTTTCTGTAAACCTGAGATATGGCTGTACAAGTAAATTGATAGATAAGCAGTAGATGAGCAGTTTCTAAAATACTCAAACCAACCCATCTAGTGCCATCAACCCTGCCATGTTGATGTTCCTCATCCTGGAGCTTGCTTTGAAATGAATTAACCTTTAACACATCTAGAGTATAGAACTGTTTGTAATGATGATTCTGAAGATTAATCTTCATGTAATATGTAATATTTCTAGGATTATATTAAAGTTACAGAATTACCTGCCAACTTTCTACAAAGAAACAAAAATCCAGTAGGTATGTCATAATGAACACCAGCCTGTACTGCTCTTTTAGACTGTTGTCAGGTCAGTGGTGTTCTAATAGGTGATTATGATCATTACTGCATAGCTTTGTTAATCCCATTGATCATATTCACCTGTGAAACCCAATATCAAGGATTCTTTAAATCCCTCAGAGAGTCTCTTTGTGTCAACCATATTCCAAACTATTTTACATGTTGTTTCTTTGTTCTCGAAACATGCACACACTCCTGGGGAGGTTTGTCTGCAACAAGAAACAGTAAATTCTGATTGAATATAAAACAATCTTCTCTGACGGCTCTATCAGCTCTGGTGGCCCCTTTGCAGCTTATGTGTTGCAGCCGTGCACAACGGGATGTTTATCTTCAGTGAAACAGATTTGCTTCTCTCTACTTTGTTGCTTTTTTTGTTCAAATTTCTCCCATATTCTATAACAGGCAAACAAAGCACATTAGAAAGAGGTTTGTGGGGTTTAATTCAAATTAATTTAAACTAAACAAATTTTAGAGCAGCTATCGAGATATTCTTGTATATATTTCCTTAGGTTTTTTTTTGCTAAAAAATTGCAGAGGGAATTTTTGTCACCCTCTCAAAAGTTGCTTATGGAATCCTATGTTGCCAAGCAGTCCAGAGACGATGTAGCACATCCTGTTTCTGCTTTTATTGTGTAAGCTCATGCACCACTTCATACAACTGCTGTTTTGGTTGTTTGATGTCATCATTGATTAAGCGATCCTCCATATACACCCGCTGGGGGTAGGGGGCATTTTGCAGATCCTCCTCACAGATTTCCTACATCTTTACTACCTCTGATGTTTCAAAACAATACCAGACAGCTTGCAAAGGTTTGGCCTTCGAAGGGAGTGGTGTCACTCAGCAATTGGGAAACATTACAAAATAAAAATATGCTTGAAATAGGCCAATAGAGCACTGAAAACATACCTCTCTTTTGATGCAGATGTTTTTTATGTAGTTGAATGCATTAAAAGGTAAACTTTTGGTGAACTATAGAGTACTTATAAACCTACAATAGAAACACAACAATAAAATGACAGAACAAGGTAACTCCTAACAAAACATCCCATCTGACCACAAAGTTGAAAACCCTCATTATGTGAAGCAACAGCAGCAACCACTCTGTTGACTCAAAGTAAACACACTGTTTACATTTTAATGGTGAATTCAAAGCACCTTGATGCAGCATAAAGCCTGTAACATCGCTATGCAAGTTAGACACAGGTTCTACTTCACACATGCCGATTGATTTATGTGACAAACAATGGAGGAATGTTGGTTTTTCTTTCGTTTTACCACAGCTTTGCCCTGTTCTCTGTTTCTAGTAAACTCCAAATGTGAGTTATAGGAAGTACTGTGATTTAGAGTAGGACCAGAGACAACATGGTTTACGATTGTATTAAAATCATCTTGCTCTACCTGAAGTACTTTACTAGGGGCATTGCTCCATGTTCCTGGCACTCTCTAGCAGTCTTACTCCTTTTTCAGTAAATTGATTTATGATTTTTCTGTGTTGTCTTAAACCATGAGAGAAGTTTGGGACGTTTCTCTTTGCTCAGGAAGAAATGTTACATGTAAACCAGAAGAGGCTGTGGTCTGAGGAGACATGGAGTGTTTTCTGGGCTGAGTGATGCTGCTCAATTCTATATTCACTACACTGCCAAAAGTATTTACTCACCCCTCCAATTTATTGTAATGAGGTATTCCAATCACTTCCATAGGCACAGGTGTAAAAAATCAAGCACCTAGGCATGCAGACTGTGAAAGAATGGGTGGCTATCAGGAGCTCCAGTGTGAAACTGAAATAGGATGTCACCTGTGCAACAAATCCAGTCATGAAATTTCCTCGTTCCTAAATATTCCACAGTCAGCTTTCTGCTGTATAGTAAGAAAAGTGTTTGGGAACCACAACAACTCTGCCACAAAGTGGTGAGTTCTGTAAAATGATATAATGGGGTCAGTGGATTCTGAAGCGCATAGAGCAAAAAAAGTTCTGCCTTCCGCAGTTAGTCACAACACACCTGCAAACTTTATGCGGCTTTCAAAATAGCCTAAGAACAGAGAACTTCATGGAATGAGCTTCCATGGTTGAGCAGCTCGATCCAAACCATAGTGCAATGCAAAGAGTTGAATGCAGTAGTGTAAAGCATGTCACCACTGGACTCCAGAGCAGTGGAGATGCATTCTCTAGAACGACGAACCAAGCTTCTCCATCTGGAAATCTGATGGTTGGGTCTGGGTTTGCTGGTTGCCAGGAGAACAGTATTTGTCTGACTGCATTGAGCCAGGTGTAAAGTTTGATGGAAGGGGTGTTATGGTGTGGGGTTGATTTTTCTGGAGCTTGGTTTAGCCCCTTAGTTTTACTGAAAGGAACTCTGAATTCGTCATGATAGCAAAACATTTAGAACAATTCTGTGCTCCCAAGTTTGTGGGACCAGTTTGGAGATGACATGGCCATGCATCAGTGCACAAAGCAAGGTCCATAAAGAAATGAATGGCAGACTCTGACTGGACTGGGCTGCACAGAGTCCTAACCTGAACCCATTAAAGACATTTTTGGATAAATTAGAGTGCGGACTGAGAGCCAGGCCTTCTCATCCAACATCAGTGTGTGACTTCACAACTGTCTTTCCCATAAACACACTCCTAAACCTTGTGGACAGTTTCCTTTGTTCCTTAGAGGACACCCTTAAACAAAATAAAGACCTATAGAAGAGAAAATGAAATTACAAAATAATAAACACCATACAAGTTATATGGGAAACATTAAGTTCTCATAGATACAAAATTTGTTATAAGAAAATTATGTAGCATGAGCTATTTAAAAACTGTGCAGCTTATGCTAGATCAGCCTATGAAATGAGCTGACAGATTGTCAGCATGTGTATCCATGTTTGCATATGACACATTCAAATCAATATAAATATAAGATAACCTGAGTATTAAAGCAGACTTTAAATTATTCACTTTATTAACGGATAAAACCTATCCAAAGCCTAAAAACTAAAGGATTTAAGATCACTTGGTAACCTTTACCTCCCTGTGAATGGCACACTCTACTTTACAGAAGAATAAAAACAGACAAAGTCCAGATAAAACAGTTAAAAGATCTTCTAAACACCTGAAGAGACCTTGTTCTTCATATCCCTTTATATACAAAACGGTTTGACCTAATTTGAAGAAAGTAGATGTGGAAGCTTTAGCTGAAAAATCTGTTGCTACATGACTAAAAATCCCATTCTCTATATTGTTAGAGTGTAAAGAATCATTAAAACATGACATTAAACCACGACTTGCCCCTTGGTATGTACTACATCGCCTTTCATTTTTAATCTAATGCAAAAGCACACTCCATCATGTAATCCGTGAGTGTTCACATAAACATAACTCACCGCACTTTCCCAGAAGAGAGTCTTGCTGTAATTACCTCTCCCCATGCTTTGATTGCTGTGTTTGTGTTATCATCTCCGCAGAGATGTTGTGTTTTCAGGCTACTGCCACTGTTTAATGTAGATCAGGTGTGCATAAAGACGCTGAGACACGCGTTGCATGTTGATCATCTTTGTAGCAGTGATTAGAGGGTGTGCGCAGATGTACAGCGTGAATCCTGATGCACAATTATAACTGAGAGAGAAATCTCACATAAAGTCCTAATAAATGGCTTGTTTATTACATATGGGAGTAGACGAATATTAAAACTCTAATGAATTACTATATAAAAAAATATTTTTGTCTTTTCCAGATCCTGATGACTATCAGCCACCCATATGGAAGTCGTACTGTAAGTAATTATTCATTTCATCCAATTATCTTATTATTTTCGGAGGGAACATTTTACACTGACTTCCTGTGCAGTGAAAAATTCATGTTTTTCTCCGTAAAATAAGAAACGTTGCTTGTTCTTCAGCACAAAAGATGCACAGTTAGATGCACTCGCCCACATACACAAATAGGAAGCAGCAGATTCTTAAATAGACCAGGAAAACACAATTTTCAATCTCATATGAGGCTAAGCCAAAATAGATGTTTTTTTCTTTCTCATATGAGAGCCTATTTAACTCCTAACAACAATTTTAATTTATAGAAGAGCAGAAACCATTCTACCCGTATTCTCTGTTTAATCAGTCAGTCTATATTCATTCTTTCAAAACATTCTTGCTTCTGGCCAACTACTGAGGTATTTTTAGAGGTGTTAGTGTCACAGCAGTGGATGGTGTCCAGATCTCGCGGGTTGGCTTAAATCAGCATAACAAAACATGAAAGATCACAGTGAGGAGCCTTCCTTGCTCCCCGCCTGGAGAATCTGCTGCACTGAGGGCTTAAAGCTCTGCCTCACACAGCGATTTCTTAGGTAGCACTGGTAGCTAATAATAAGTCTGAGCATTTTTTTTTTTTTTTAAGTTTGCAAAGTCAACAGTTTGTAATTTATTGCTCTTTTACAGCAACAAAGTCCCATATATATAATTTTATTAGACTTCTGTTCAATAGATATGGTCTCTTGGTTATTGATTTTTGTTCTTTTTCCATTTGTTATACTGATTCATAAATCAGTATACTGATTCAACTGTATACTGATTGTAATACTGATTCATAAATCAGTATTACAAAATCATTGCCCCGATATCTTAATTATAATATTTCCAACACAAGCTGTAATGGATTCGCAACATACCACAAGTCACATTGTGTGCACTGGAAAGGAAAAATTATTTTGTTCACATGTGTGCGCTGGTCAACAATAAAAGACATCAGAGTAAGTTCACATAATTCGTTTTCAACAAATGATCTGTTATTTTACACAATTATTACCCTGACACCTGCCACCCCGCCATACTAAATGTTAAGATTTGTAAAAACCTTTACAATCCAGCCTTATAATTTATTATTCAGCAAGTTAGAAAAAAAAAACATTTTATATCATAACATGTAATCAGCAGGAATAAATCCCATGTCAAGAAATACATATATTAACAAAAACACCAGTGCCAATTTTACCCCCACCACCCAGTGCCTGTAATACTTTGTATAATCCCCTTTACCAGTTAGACACACTTAGTCTTTTCCTTAATGTTTCACACAGTTGGAGCATGCAGACAGACAGAGAGGGCGATCTTAACCATTCCTGTTCAGATTGAGTAGTTCTTCAACAATATATAAGTCCTAGAAGTGAAATTCTCATGAAAACTGGTAAATTTGTGTCTTTGGAGCCATCTCTGTATTCATTTGACCATATTGTTTGATCAATTTATTGGGAAATTCAAGGTTCCCATAGCCTTTGCAAGAGAAATAGGGTATAATGGACCCTCTGCCTTACTTACCAGCAGGAAAGTTAGAATAGAATAGAATAGAATAGAATAGAATAGAATAGAAAATCCCTTTATTGTTCCACAATGGGGAAATTCTGGTGTTTATGGCAGCAAAAAGATTATAAAAAAAATGGTCAAACAAATGTGGACCTTAGAAAAATGCATAAGAATAACATACTGTGCACAGACTGTGCTCCTGGAGAATAAATAACCAATATGCAGCTATGGACATTTTTACAGTAATGGATGTTTGAAAATAGCAGCAACATCATAGATGGCAAAAATGACAGCAGTGTGTAACAGCAAGTTACAATTCTTTATTAATATATGCACTTTGTTTTACTCCTGAGCCTGTTGGACTTTTTGCAGAAATGCTCTATTCTATGCTGTGAACACATAGCAGGTAAAAGAAAAGCAAATCCAGCAGAGGAACTGGTTCTGTCTCTTTTTATCCAACACTTGCATCATTAAAATGTGACAAGACTGTAAACTCTGGTTTGCCCTGGAGGAAGCAGAAGCTACAAGGCACTGTTGATGAAGCTAGTTACAATTATATGGGCTCTGAGGCCATAAACTGTTTATACTGAAGTCTAATGTTGATCTAATTTACATAATAATGACAAAAACAGACAAAAAAAAAAAAAAACAACAACCCCAAAACAGGCCTTAACAAATAAAGATTGAGTTAAGCCTTAAGACCATTGAGCATCTTATTCTCATCTAACCAAAGCACACAATTTCCAGTTAAATACCCTCTAGCATTTATAGTAAACTCCCCGACCTGATGTTAAATGGTGGGATGGAAAAGCTTTTTTTCTGCCGTATCTCCCAAACACCTGGTTGGGATTTAGATAGAGTCTCTTTGTCGTTATGGAGACTTGATAACCCCAAAATGCCACTCTTCGCTGCACATCTTAAAGTTAACTCTGAAGTTTGTTTTTCTTTACCTCTGCTATCTCCTTTGTGTAGTTGGTGTAAGAAAAATCCGAGTAGTCCATAAATGGCTTGGCATTTATAGGAATTTAGAGTCAAACTTCCAAATAATATATCAGTAATGTTTCTCAAAACATTTACATTAATTATTAATGTTGTCAATAGTTTGTGTAAATGCATGAAAAAGGTATGTTTATCAAAATACTTTTACTTATCTTTACTAGCGTCACCAATAACTATAGAGGATGTTGTAAATAAGGAAATACTTTGTACAAAAATTGTTTTCAATTTAACAGACTTATTGTTCCTTATAAACCTGTCTTTAAATGCTGCAAAAAACACTAGGTTTGTTTCATCTGAACTTTGTGTTAACCGTGCTTATTTTGGACGCAACTTCTGCCATATGCATGCAATTATGTCCTGCGCCGAGCTCTGCTCTGAGTTGTTTATAGCTCAGAAGGCCAGACAAACTTCATTAACATTCGTGTTTTTATCTGACAGTGTACCAGCTCCAGCAGGAAGCTCCGAGACCAAAGAGGATCACATGTCCTCAGGAGGTTAGTGCATCAGTGAAGGTTTAAAAAGCTAGCTAATGAAAACAGCTGGAATCAGTGGGTTCATGTTGGGTTCATGAAGCATTCAAAAACTGACAGTATATGTCTGTATCAACTGTCCACAACCACAGAAAATGTAAATTCTTTCATTAGACTTGCTGGAAACATGATGGATAATGAACAAGAGTCAGTAACTAATTATCTTTAGCAAAATAATAATTAGACTTGACCTTATTTTGGTAATTTGAAGCTGGGTACTTAAAACAGACTGAATTTTGAATGTTTGCATGAAGAAAAAAATACTGCGCCACAGCACAGAGAATGTTTTCCATCAGTGGCTGTTTTCATTATGATAAATGACCAATGTCACCTCTGAACAGGTTGTTAGTCACCACAGCACCCTAAAACACCTGCTTGCCCTTTTTTCCTCTTTACTTTCTCTTCACAAACCAGGTCTTTTAGACAAGAGACTCTGTGTGGAGATTGAACTAGGCTTTTACTTTTAGGTTTGAGTTTATTCCTGGGAAAATGATTGAGTGCAGCAGCTGGAAGCCAGACTAATCAGTAATATAACCTGTGGGGGGATGGCTTCCTACTGCTTTTAAGTCACCTCATGAGTGACTTGTTAAACACTTTTTTTTTTTTTTGCCAGAGATTAAAACTTAAGAGTTATCTTTTTATCAGCTAAAAATAATGTTTTTAGTGACTTATTGAGAGGAAATGTTATAGTGTAGCCATGTCAACTGCAACATGTTTTCAGCCTAAACACAAAACCCTCTTTCGTCAACAAGATCTGCCTAAATAGTGGAATTACAATTAGATATTTTGACCTTTACAAGTAATAGATTGTAATTTTATGACTTCACACTTGAAAGTGTTTTAAATATATAAAAGAAATACTGTTGCAAAAAAGAAGGGGGATATCAAATTATCAAGCTTAATTATGGTTCAAAAGGTCAGATTTGTTTGGCTCAAAGTGGTCATTTGTCTGTTAAAGAGGCAAACTGTAGCTTGGAGACCCAACAACCAGGCAATCTTTCGATGGATATAAAAGCTTCCATGGTTACCCTAGTTTTACTGTATTTTGCAGTAAGAGTTTAGTTAAAATTGACCCCTTGTGTCAAAAGCTATATTTCAAAAATACAACAGCCATTACTCAAGTAGAAATTACGCTGGGCATACAGTGTACGATTTTTTGTCCTTTTCTGGCTGACTTTCCAGTCGTGCGAGAACTTTTCAATTTTCAGCCTGATCGTGCGTCGTGTAGTGTACAGGTGGTAACGAGGAGTGATCAGTCTCTCACGACCACCTCCCTATCAGGAATCGTGAGGTTGGGAGAAAATCAAACATGTTTGTTTTCAGTCGACCGTCGTGGGAAAATCACTCAGTGGGCATGGGCAAACAAGGATTCTTCTTCGTCTCAGATGAAAACACAGAAGCATGGCGGGGATCAGAGTGAAATTTAGTTCTTTTATTTAAAATTGACAGACCGTAGTAGCCATGTCTTCATCCAAATATGTTGTCGCCTTTTCTTTTTAGGGCTTTACGCACACAAAATTGCACAAATTCCTAAGGTTTCTCTCTAGTGAGCTTAATATCTTACTTGTTTGGCTTCCAGATAGAGGAGTCTGAGTAGCGCCATCTCACTGTGGAGCTGAGTCCAAAGTGTTTTTTAGACTTACAGTGTGAGCAGGTAGATTGCATCAGAGCGTCGGCTCGCACATTGTGAGAACATACATTGTGAGCTGTGAACTCACACTACAGTGTGAGCTGTAGCTGTGTGCAACAATTGAAAACAAACGTACAGTGTATGTCCGGCTTTTTTTGTTTAGTTGTGGTATTGCAGAGTTAAAATAAATATTAATGAATTGACTCAACTGAATGAGTTTATTACACGTAAAATGTAAACAATCCACATTTAACTAGTGATAGTTTAGCTGTTCTACAGAAATGCAGCCGTAAAAAGGTGATTCTTAGAAAACGAAAAGTCATGCTAAGCAAACTATTGAAGCCTATAAACACTACCTTATCATGTTGTTGAGTAAATTGCTGTAAATCTGACACAAAGACTAGTAAACATTAAAGGGTCATTGCATCTAATCACCATAGCTAATATACAGGGCATGTGTTTGTAGAAGACTTTCATTGATTTTTTTGGTAGAGATTTGAAAATGTTAGCAAAAGTGTTTATGAGCTGAGATATATATATGTGTGTTTTTTTTCTTTTTCTTCCTTTTCCTCATACAATTCCTCATCAATGTGTTACAGTAGGTATGTAATTCAACTGTTAAGTTTTTAAAATATGTTTTTTTCCTACTAAATGTGAAAAATTGTCTGTCTGCATTACATACTTTTGTTTTGAAAGCACCTCAAAAACCTCTGCGAAACTGTGATCCTGCAAACTGATGTATTTTCTGAGTTAAGACAGTGAACACAATACTACTTTGCTGCCAAATCTATAACCACTCTTAATCAAACACATACATACCAACATACTGTCAAAATTCAACACACTTTTTTCTGTCTTCTCTGAGAGTGCTGCCAGTCTTCTGCTGTATAACCCAGCTGAACTGATGCGTGTCTCATCCTATTTTGAGTGCTGTCACACTTTGTTGAGCAAAGTAAAAGCTGTGGGGCTGGTTGTGTGAGATTAGCGGTAGGCTGATTATTCAGTACAAAATTATTTTTTTTAACATTGTAACACGTCCTTTATTAGAGCATTTTCACTACAAGCTGTGTAGAAAAAGACTCTAAAAAACATCTTTTCAGTTTACTTTCAGCTGAATAGCTTCCCAATGACAGTCCTTTGAGAAGCAGAAAAAATCGTGATGCAGAAGAAAATACACTCTTAGTCATATATTTGTGCTTTAGACACCTTATACATTCCGGTGTGCCATTCTAACATGCTTGATATTAACTTGTTTGCAGCTGGTCATCTTTTACCTGCTGTTTTGGAGTGCTGCCTCTAATTTATCTTCCCCTACTCTGTGATTGGGCTTTATGGTTTTCTAGCTGAGAACAGACGCAGGGTCCCAGATGGAGATAATCTGGCCTGTGGTGTAAAGTCTTTTATCTTTCATGCGGGCTTTAAGGAACAATTTGCAGAGCTATTAATTTGAGCTTTCATATCACACTGCTGCAGCCAATATTTCTTCCTCTGGTTTACAGATGGAGAGCAGACCCAAGTACTATGGCAGAGAGTAAGTTAAAATTTATTACTTTCAATGTTTGTGTGTTTATTTTTAAGTACTATATATTACCCTTTTATGAGATAGTGGTTATTATTTTAATGAGCATTTATTCTCTCAGTTTTTTTTTTTTAAGTATTTTACCAAAGTTAGTTGTTAATGGTAAAAGCATTCTTATTTTTTAATAGATTCCATGGCATGATATCTCGAGAATATGCAGATGAGCTGCTGGCAGGTAAAGAGGGTGCTTACCTCATCAGGGAGAGCCAAAGACAGCCTGGGACTCACACCTTGGCCTTAAGGTACCAGCAGAACCACAAAAATAAAAAATGTGAACATTAACTTTCTAGCCAGCTTTTATCCTAGGGTTTTAATATCTCCCCTGTCCATGGATTTCCTTTCAGCTTTGGACACCAGACTCTGAATTACAGACTCTTTTATGATGGGAAGCACTTTGTCGGTGAGAAGAGGTTTGAGTCCGTCCACGACTTGGTGACGGACGCCCTTATAACTCTTTACATCGAGACCAAGGCAGCAGAGTATATAGCCAAAATGACCACCAACCCGATCTATGAGCATCTCGGCTACACATCACTGCTCAAAGACAAAATGGTGCACAGACTGAGCCGCGGACGCACTGAGCCTCGCAGGGTTACCTTCCAGAGTGATGATAGGGTGAGTTTGACCACTGTTTATTTCACATGCAGATTTATTTTCTAACCAGTATTCTACATTCTTAACAATTATGCAAAGCTGTTAAAGTGCAGATTATGACCCACATGTTTGTTTAAAAAAACCCCCACATATTTAGCAGCAAGGGTCTCCCACCAAAGATTGTGTAGTGTGCCACAGGGCCCTGATGTCTGCATAATGCAGTTAAAGGGATAGTTCGGTATTTTTGACATGAATCTGTATTGCATCCCCATCACCAGTGTCATGCAATCACACTGACTTACC